TTATATCGCGGTCTACCCCTCAGGCGTCATGAATTAAACATAGAATTGTTAAACTCGGGTTACCAGTAAATGCTATAATAAACGGGAAAAAATGTGGTGATCGTAATAAAACCCTTTAGTGAACTTCCTTTGCGTATTACCTGGAGTATGTACCACAATGTCCGGCTTACGTTCATCTCGGTGTCGCCTACCTGGAATCGAACTCAGGACTTACAGGCACAGTACTACGTGTTTGTCTGTAAGAATATATGTTAATCGTCAAATAAGGTTGCAATAACAGTAAGCAGATATTAATAATAGAGTAATACAGCAGTCGTGAAATCAACAACGTGTTTCGCTTTGATCGTGGCTTGTTATGGTTTATTGTAAGGTAATATCACTTTATTTATGGGACGAATTGAACTTTACGTGTATCTTTCAAGCCCTTTTTATTCACTTTATTTATTTGAATGAAACACCTTTGTGAACTCTGCCGATGATACTGGCCCTAAGCGTGTGTCCTGCTGTGGCAGAAATCGGGGGCGTGATTTGAATACGGTCTCTTGCCTTCTTGTTGCCCTGTAATCTCGTTTATATCATGGAAAATCTGAACGTTGAGTTCAGAGTTGGGTCATAATGTAACGTAGAATAGTCCTTTACGCGATAACCTAACTCATCAATATAACGCCTAATTAATATTCTGTGAGTGTTTTGCTATCATATCCTACAAGTCACTGCTGAAATAGATGGCTGTCCTCTGGAGTGCAGTCTGGTAGAAATTTGACGACGTTTCAGAGGTGCGTGTTGCATCTATCAGGGTGATGAGACTGGACAGCGTAAGACCCCCAGAAGACAGCCATCTTCATACTCACCGCCGCGAAAAGCAGAAATTTTATCGACGACGTATTTGGAAAATCCACCATAACTTCCCTGTGTTTTATTATACTTTCCTTGCACGAAGAAACGTGCGTATTATCTTCGAAAGTGGTAAGTCAGGTTGATCGATTTCGGTTAAATTTGTTATTTGGAATTCCTGTAAGTTGTCCTAACGAGTATAATTTCGGTATATATAGGTTACATGTAGGGGAACACCGACTTTTTAAATGCCAAACGGAACCACTTAAAACATTGGCGTACATCTTTCCAGTCTTGTCTCGTTAGAGTCTGAAATGAGGATTGTGATATCGTAATGCTTGTTTATTTGAATGTTTCTTTGCCTACAGTTTTCAGCCTCTCCCTTAACGAAATAAGATTGCACTGCACCACAAATCTTAAGACAACAATTGACAGAACTCGTATTAACGTACGTTTATACTTACGCATAAACGTAACAATTTTTATTTCATATAACCTTTCCGAATTGGCGTGCCATTTGTATTGGAGGGCGCGTTATATTCTTGCAAATACGGCAGTTTGGAAGTTTAATCATCGTTCTCAAAATTACGTATTTGAAATCAACCCACCGGGACCACAGCTGATATTAAGTAACGGACGGACAGACAGATACTGCCTCTGTCTGACGCGTTCAACTTCTCCCCTTCTGGTCGTTAATGACATGGAGATATATTTTAAAAATTCAGGCCACACCTTTGGA